CCCATGGTACGTCTATCGGTTGTTGTGATTTGCTAAGGTAGTGATAGTTTTGTTTCTGTTATAATGTGTTAATATTATGTACTGTTCGGCGTTGTTAGTAAAGAATAAAATATTTAAATAAAATATATATTGTATAATAAGCCATTCAGATAAGATATAAGCTGTAAATTAACTTATTTAAGGATTATAAGATAGCAGAAGAAGTATCATGCCATATCAGAAGAGGGGTGCAATATATACCATTATAGACTTTCCTAAGAGCTATAATTCTTATATCCCCATTGTAAGGACATGTAATGTTTATTAATTCTCATAATATAAATCTGTCTTATTACAACCTTATAGTATCTTTTATATATCTTATCCAATGAGGGGTGCAATAAATGTCATTATGGATAATATTGTTTTTTTACATATTATATATGCATATAAGAGTATATAATAATTAAGACTTTTTCCTGACGCATCAGAGTCCGAATGACCAGATCAGGATGCATTCCTGCAATCCGTCAAAATGAGCATAAGTTGCTTTCGCTTTCCTCTTGTAAACAATTGGTGACAGTAGGGCAGAAATAGTGAGTCGAGTACAAATAACAAGAATGCAATGAAGTGGTATGGGCAAACAAGGTATGTAAAGAGTGTAACATAAAGGAGATATGGAGCTGTTAGAATGATCAAAACAAATTGTAACACAGATGGGAAGATAACTGGGAATGCGACAAGGTTTACGGCGGTGATAGTGCACGTTGAGAAGCAAAGGATTAAAGCGAACAAAACGACCGGGGAAGGGAATATGAAAGATCAGATACATTTCATAGATATGGAACATCGTCGCCGAAGTCGATTTCAATCCCGCGTTCCTTGCATGCAGCATCGAGAGCGGAGATCGCGGCGTGTCTCCTCGCCCTCAAATCAAAGAACGAGTAGCTCACTCGTACATCCAGCTTCTTCAGCTTCGGAAAGCCGCATGTTTTGATATACTCTGTCCATTGCGACATTCGTGAAACACCAAGAAAATTTCCGAGAATAGTGAGAGTCTCAGTGTTCGAGAAGATTGGATAGAGCGTTCCTTGTATGAGTTGGTGTGATGCCGTGAGGGAGACTAAACGACGTAAAGTTGGAGTGTTCTGCATGTGTACGGAAGGATCCTCGACTGGAAGGTCGCATTTTTCGTTGTCGTTCGGGCAATGGACAACGAGCCGCTCCAAAGAATCACCAACGAGCCGAAGCAAATCGGCGAAGGCTTGAACTCCAGATTGTGTACAGACGTGAGTCGAAAATGTGAGCGAGCGGACATGGGACCACGAAGTGGGTGAGCAGAGGAGTGAACAGATTGCGCCCTCAATGTAAACTTCTCGGAGGTAGAATTCCTTGAGTTTGCATCCCGGCGGCAAGGTATCTACACCATCCGATTCGGAGAGCAGGTCTGGATCATTGTGACTATCGTCAATATCAAGTTCCAAACTACCCGTCAGTGAAAGGCTCTCTAGCGCGTGGAAGCGCATGGAGAGCTCAATATCCCAATTCAAGGGTGCGCATCCAACGCCGTCTGACTCGTATGGATCAGGGCCTTGTATACAGAGTGACTTGACCGTATTAGGAAATGCAATAGCCCGTAAGTACCGTTCCGCGTTATAAGCGAGGTCTCCACCGAATGAAATTCTTTCAAGGCGTGTTAGTGCAAGGAGACGCGGGACAGCGGGGTAAATTCCATAATCATTTACCCCCTCCTCGACATCGCAAGTCCGCGGATCCCAATATATAGGAAATAAATCCAATTCATTGACGAGCGGGACAAGGTCTGGATTTTCCTCGAGAGTACGAGCAAGACTGTGGCAAGCATGATACGTCAGGAGCATAGGGTGGGCATAGAGGCGTTTTCGAGCTGGATGGAGGAAATGCGAGGAGACGAGGGCGAGACGGCAGAAGTCGCGTGACCACAAGTGAGGATGGCTGTCCAGAATGTGCTCGACGATGTCCTCGTTGATGATGCACATATCTTACAGGTCAATAATCAAGTATTTTACGAAGAACATTCACGAAGGGAGTGAGAGTCAAGTTGGCTAGTCGAGTATCCGACCTTCCCTGACAGGCACGGGAACGGTCAAGCGGCTCAAGCCGAGGAGGCGAATGGAAGAAGCCGTAAATGCCAAGCATTCACCTTTAATCTCGAGGCGGCTAGCAACCCTTGTTTCGTTCTCTTCTACATACCACAACACTGCCGTCTGCGTAAAAAAAAACGCGAATGTCGTCCGCCCTGTTCGTATTCAAAGAATAAATTCACACTCAGTTTACTGCGGCTCCGGCGATCAAAATATGGTCACGTGCAGAACACTCACACTGGTTCGCAGATGAATCGCACGCAGGCCACAAGCGGGCACTCAGGAGTCATGGCCTCGGTGTGACTTGTGTTCTCTTCTAGCTCTCCCATCCTTCCGTCATGGCAGCGTCCAAGCCGTCGTACACGCTACCCATCAAAGACCGCCCGCCCAAGACATGGTTTCAATTCATTCATGGGATATTATCTTTGGCCGTGTTCCTAACAGGATGTATCATTCTTCACGCTGCGCAACTCGCGTTTATGCTCCCGCTCCGCCTCGTTCCGAGCAGGAGAGCTCGCGAATTGTATGAGCGGGGTGTCAGGTACACGAAGGGCGCGTTTGGGTCACTTGCTAGTACGTTTAATAATTTGTACATGGGAAGAGGAATGTGACTTACGTATGTCGCGTGTATAGCGCTTATGTGCCAGCTCTTTGCACCAACATCACTGCGAGTAACCTTTGAAACAGAGGGAATTGGTGCTTTTACTCCGGAGCAGGTTGAACAGATTGTAGTTCGTGATGCATCAGGCAAAGTCGTCGAGCTTCGACTTCCACCAAAGATGGTCATCATAGCCAATCACCAGGTACGTAGCACTCGTTCTACCTGTCAGTGGCTCAAAATAAACTGTGGGTCAGATATACGCGGACTGGTGGTTTGTTTGGTGTCTGACATACTTTATGAACATACACCAAGGCCTGTTCATTGTGCTCAAGAAGAGCCTGAAGTGGGTGCCTGTACTTGGCTGGGTATGTCCACACAATGTAAAACCTCATTTTAGCTTGTCTCATTATTGATATTGGGCAGGGGATGCAAATATTCCGCTTCATTTTCCTTGCCCGTTCGTGGGCATCCGATAAACACTATCTCGTCTCACGACTCGCCAAACTCGGGCGTAAAGCACAACTAGAAGATACACCCCTTGCTATTATTATTTATCCAGAAGGCACAGTACCTTCTAAGAACACACGACCAATTAGCAAGAAATATGCAGATAAAATGGGTATTGTAAGTACACTGTCTTGCAATCTCGTCCTTTTCCCGTTTCGGCCCGAATTGATGTGATTTTGTCATACAGGAAGACATGACGCATACACTGTTACCACGCTCGACCGGATTACAATATTCACTCCGTGCGCTTGTGCCGAGGGTGCGGAATCTCAAACTTCTAGACATTACGGTTGCTTATCCAGGTAAGTAACAACATGTATTGGTTTTGGTTTTAGTTTTAGTTTTATTTATTTCACCTACAATATCAAATGTATAGGTATCCCGCCTGCAACGGACGGACAAACATTCTATACCATCCGCTCAATTTTCATGGACCGTGTCCCTCCACCAATAGTCCATATGCACCTCCGTCTACTGGACGTTGCATCTGAGGTACCCATAGGCGACTTATCTGGGAGCAATCCTGCCGTAACTCCACCTGTTACCGCTGGCGAATCACCATCCAAACCTTCAAGCTATCCAATCAGTGAGCAGGCGAACGGACACGTCAATTTACCAGGTAAGACAACAGTGGAGGCGGACGTATCCGAGAAAGAGAGAGTAGCATTTGATGAATGGTTACGAGCGCTTTGGAGGGTGAAGGACGCAAAACTTGAAGAATTCCACCGGTCTGCTCAGAAGACTGGGAAGGCCAATAAGGAGAGGAATGACGATTTTGGGAAGATGTTCGAGTCGAGGTTACCTGCAGTAGAAATCCCAGTGCAGGTGAGACATCCGCAGGAAGTGTTTGATGCGTTTGGTTACTTTTGGCCCGCTGTACTTGGGTGGGCGTGGCATAGGGTTCGAGGGTGAAGTGCGAGACTGCGTGAACGAATTTTTTAGGACTCCTCGCTTGAATAAATACGAATAGACTTGGAGGTGGACGGATGGATGGATGGATGTGTTCATCGTACCACAACTCACCTACCTCATTTTGGCATCCCTGCATCTAGTTTTAGTCACTTTTCACGGACCTGCAACTCACATACCACTTTGTACAGTACTTTGTCCCGAGCTGTTGTCTATTTACTCTGTCCCTGTTGTCTGTCCATTTTGTGCAATGTGATCTGGTCAACTGTTGTGTTCGAAAATTTGTTGAGTGTCTGTGAAACTGCATTCTGTATATGAGGGTACAACATACATAACATTAAACTTGTTGACAAATCAACTCAGTATCATGCCTAGTGAGGATAAATTATATTAAAAAATTATTTGTGTAATGTGCATTCATTACCATCTTCATGAAGATTCCCTCTGTTAGTCTGTTGACAAATGACATGAATATATAATGGTCTCCATTTATGGCAATCTTCTTGCTCTAGATTACTGTATTGATCATTGTAAATCATCTGAGTTTACACTGGGCCAAATTTCACCTATGAAGGGTAGATGTTTGCTTCTATGTGAAACTCAAGTTGTATGAAGAATACCTTCTGGACACTACAAAAAATCGTGTGCTTCACTTCACAGTTCTATATTAGGATTTGTTCGAGTTATCAGTTGCTGAGTTCTATGAGAGTTACAAAATAAATGAGTCCCATGAATCCTGGGATTCCTGTACTATACGACACGGCAAACGAGCTACAAGAGGGACAATTAGTAGGGTCTTAGTGGACGGCTGCGCTACTGCAAAAGCAGTTTATTCTAATTGGCTCTGGAGTCGTTGTATTGCATTGAGAATTGGCCGAATATCCATTCAACTCATCAAGGTCTTAATGATAATAATTCGAGAGTCATAATATTTAGGAAGCTCTTGAGGACCAGATTCCTTATGGTATAAGTGGATCCTCGAAAATACCGACGGAGGATATGACCTGCGAATAAGCTTTTGCTTAACGTTACCATACTGAGCGCTTTATTGTGTTCGTAAACTGAGGCCGCCGGTATAACAGAAGAGCGAGGATTATTATTGACGATATTAGCGACTGCATGGAAGCGAGAACAAAAGTACGCCTAGATTTGTATGCGGTGGAGTGCGAAGGTACAGGATGCGAGGATTATGAGTGCGAGGAAGCGGCGAAGTGAACAAACGTGTGCTCGAAGGCGGTCTTCTAGCGCATTCTAATGTGATCGTCGGTGCTTTTGTGAGCAAGTACAAAAATTAACTCGACTCGTTTTCCCATCATTCTTGAGCTTGAGCTTGAGCTGCGGCGGCCGCGTAAGCCTCGCGCTGACGTTCGAGAGACTTGACGAGGAAGATGCTGGAGTCGAGGAATCGTTCGACGCAATTTGAGAGACAGGTTTCCTCAGAGCGGGAGAAACGGGTCGAGGGAGTGCCGGTTACGCATCTGTGATAATCCAGAGGAGGATAAGTTCAGAAGGAAGAGAAGAATAGAGAGAGGACGCACTTGTCCCAGCATGTGGAGGTGAAGTTGTGCACGGCTTGTTGGACTCGTTGTCCTGCTTGTTCCTTCTCAAGGAACTGGGCGATTTCTCTCTGCAAGGAATGGACAAATTAAGCACAAAAACTATTTTCAGTATTCGCTTAGAGACATACCTGAGTAGCTTCGTCGAATTTGTCCATGTCGAACAAGCTGAAGGTGAGTGTGACAGGAAACGTCAGCAGAATGAGAAAAAGACAAGGTTTTGGCGGGGCCGACGTGCCGAGCGATCGACGTGCGGAGGCATCCCAAAGCAGGATATGATTGTGGGAATATACTTCCATTCCACGCGTCACGGTATCTTGCCATTCAGTCCGCCTATTTTCTCAGGCTCTATCTTTCCTTCATCGCCGTGCCCTCCTCGTCGCCGCCGACGCAAGAAAAAAATTCGTCCGTCGTGCGCAGCGCAGACGGTCCAAGTCTATACCTGCCCGTTCTTTGCATTATTCTTATTCTTTCGTTATATCCCCACTTTATAGCAATCATAGTCGGTTCCTAATTGGACGGGAAGGCACTGATTGGAGCAAACTCTCTGGTACTAGTGTGACCGTCGCTATACAAACAACTTTTTATCCCCAGGTTCTTTTTGGCGGAGGCTATGACAGCCCCATCATCGCGGACGGGCACACAAACGCTCAGGATGTCCACCTCTCATGGGAATCTTCGTCCTTCGTCTTCGTCGGCCGCACTAGGTGGATCTGCCCCGCCACGGGAGCGTAAGGAACGTAGGAGACCACCGCCTGTATCACTCTCGGGCCAGCAATCAACCAGTACATCTCCATCATCATACACTGGTATCTCGAGCAACTCGACCGCACCGGGTGCGCAATGTTCGCCTCCACCACCGTCACCGCCAAGCGCGAGTGCACGCTTAGAGGAGAGCTATCTTGCAGCAAAGCGGCGAGCTCACCGTCATAGCTACTTTGACCGCTATCCAGATCGCGGTCAGCAGCGGAGAAGGGAAGGTGAGAAAGAGGATGGATATGAGGCGGAGGCGGCAAGAGGAGTTGAAGAAGGGGAGAAGATTCCACCGTTGCCTACGGCGTCTGTTAACGTAGCTACGCACCCCCATACCCAAGAAGATGGCAACAGTGAAGAGGAAGGAGACACGTTTGAAGTTTTCGGACGCACGGCTCTTCGAAAGAGCTTAAGTGTTGGAGCAGGTGAACGCGTTTCTAATTCATTAGCAGCTCTGGGAATTTCAAGAAAGGGTAAAGAACGGAATGGATATCCGAACGGCGGGGGTTTTGACCAGGATCGAGCGCAGGAAGAGGGCGTTGCATTCCCGGTCATGCGCTCGACTCGTGGTACGCAACGCTCGCGTGAAGATTCTTCATCAGCTATTTCCACACATGCACACGCGAAGGGAGCCTCAGGTACTTCATCTCGCACGCTCATCGCGCCGAAGGTACCTACGCACCCGTACGGCGCATATCGTGACGACCTTCCTGGACTACGCTTCTCCTATTCGACGTACTCAAGCTCACAAACACAAGGGGAGACCCCGCCTCAGACTCCAATAGAGGCGAGTACTCGAGGTCCGATCCACGTTGTAGTTGCTGCGCCGATTTCAGGTGTTGAAGCTATGGATGCACTTGTAGATGGTATGGACGGCTCCGACGACGATGATTTGTTCAAACGACTGCAAAATCGAGCCAAGAGTTCCGTACATAATCATCATCCGTTATACGCTCCGCCTTTACCTGAACCTCCGCCCGGCATCGTTCTAGGACGCGGGAATACGCAACGGAAGGCATCGATTAGCTCTGGAAATGAGAATGACGGAGATTGTGAGGACTTACAGTCTCGGCCATCTACTCATGCAGGTACGGAGCGCTCTGGTACAAAAAGGCGGCATGAGAATGGCCGGTCGGCTTCTTCTAGTACTATTCTTGCTGATATGTCAGAGCGCTACCGTCGCCCCTCAACTGCGTCACCAAAGATGGATCGCGAGCCAGCTCACGCACCACCTCCATCTATTGATGAGATAATCCGCAAACATACTGTCCTTTCCCCCCACCAAACTCAATCACACACGAAATCGATGTCACCGTTCGTTTCTGACATGATACGGCGGAACACACAGCCAGGCAATTCATCTCAGTCTCGTCCCACGACAGGTGTAAGGTCACGTACGACCAGCGCGACGGGTCATAATGGTCGACAAGATTCTTCCCTTTCGGATTCTGATCCGGAACCACTGACGCCTTCGGAAGAAGCAGCGTTAGTAGCACGATCTTCTATTGATAGTGTCGCGGCGGAGGTACAGCAGTCGCTCCGTGTGCATAAAAAGACTCTGAAACCGGATTTGCCAGCAACAAGCTCTGCTACCACGTCGTCCAACATTTCAATATCACAGGATGATGCATCCACTTCGCGATACAGCTATTATAGCTACAAGACTACTCGTTCTGCAGGCGGCTGTGATCAGTCGATACGGTCAGGTTCAGCTTCTGCCTCCGCTTCGACATCAAATGGCGCTGGTGTGGCTTCAACCTCCCCAGGGCTGTCATCAGATCCGGAATTTACTCAGTCGTTCCGATCTCAAAACGGGCGGTCAAAACGACCACAGCAGAATGGCCAGAAGGAGGCAATTGCAACTTACCTCCGTTCTGCACGTATGACAACACTATTGAGGCTCACGCGGCGACCTCATGCATCGGAAGATCGACCTCTGACTGTTAGTTTATCTGATTTGGGCTCGCAGACGGGATTTCCGCTCGTTGTTTTCTTGGGACTTGGATGTGTACGTTATGTTATGGGGCTGTATGATGAGATGGCGGAGTGCCTTGGGTTGAGACTTATCACGATTGACCGGTTCGTTTCAGTTTCTTTTCAAGCTTCACCGTGATCTGGTTGTTGTTATGACATTTCTAATTATCCCTATCTTGTTGGTAGATGGGGTCTCGGTCGGACAGATGTTCCACCTTCTTCCGCCAGCCGAGGGGTACCAGAGTGGTCTACTGTAGTAGATGAAGTACTCGACCGTCTGAACATTGATCGATGTGGCATCATGGCTCACTCGGCTGGTGCCCCTTATGCTCTGTCGTTTGCGAGCAAGTATCCAGAACGGGTCATTGGCGACATTTGTCTCCTTGCACCTTGGGTCGGTGGTGGAGCAGGAAGTACGTATATGCACGAGAATGTAACCGTGCGAAGATAGAAAGACTAATAATATTTTTTCTGAAGGTGGGTATCGTTGGCTCAAATACGTACCGAATGGGCTCTTGAAGACCGCGCAAGCTGCAGAATGGAAGATCCAAGCGTGGATGATTGGCAAGCCGCCGAAGATCTCTTACGAGGGTATTGGGTACAATGCAGAAAAGCGGGTATCGTCGGCAACGTACAACATTGACTCTTCAGGACATTTTGTGCGGGCTCGATCGAAGACGGACTCGCACGAAGAGGACAGTGGCGACGATGAGACTGCGGACTTCTCATCTCATGCGGTGAAGCGGACGCAGAGTAGGACCTCGGCGAAGTCTTCTCCGTATTCGACGGCTCTTCCACCAAAGTCGCGACCGAGTGTCTCGAGCGGGAATACGTTTAGTGACTATGATGACCTTGCTGACTTTTGTGGACAGTTCGATAGCCAAACTACGTTTGAGCGAAGACGTTCAAGAGCCGCATCTGCTGATGGACATACATCTCCGCAGGACTCAGGGATTGGAGCGAAGAAGAGGAATTCGAGAGGGTTCCTACGTATATGGAAAGGTCTTCCGAATAATAATCCTGGTCCAGTACCACCTCTACCAGCTATTGAGACGTCGTTTGGCCAGCAACGGCAGCCTACCTCCACTCAATCCCAACCCCCAACTCCCCAGCCCAAGCGAAAGTTAAAGTCACTGAAGTCGATCAGTTCGATTCGGAGTAGAACGTCGACGACGACTATGCCAACGCGTCCCAAGACGGCGGAGACGAGCCCTGTACTGCCTGAACAGAGCTTCGAGACATCGCTCCATCTTGAAATGGGCGAATTTGGGTTAGGCAACGCTTCCGACAAGGAGGCATCGGCCTCGCAGTCTACTCGTCCACGTCTTGGATTGGATACAAAGAATCATTCTAAACATGCGTTTCCGTATTCTGCCGTCACAACTACAACTACGACGTCGAAGTCTGCGTTTACATCTCACACGTCGGTGACTAATGGTCCTCCTAATGGAACGAGAGCAGGTGGACGACGGTCAATCTCGTTTACCACGACCACATCGACATCATACTCGCTCATGTCCCGACCTTCTCTACCGCACGCTTCACAAACGTATTCTGCGAAGTCGTCACCTGCAAACGCGTCTCCTTCGAAGAAAGAAGGTGGTGAATCCTACCAGGTCGCAATGGGCAACGCCCTCATTGCAGCCTCACATTCCGAAAGCTCACGTGGAACACATCCTGATCTCCTTCAAATCCTTAATCACGAACAACGACCCTGGGGGTTTTCATACTCTCGTTACCCGCATCGGGTACGAGTATGGTATGGCGACAAGGACGAGCGGATTGCAGCCGAGTCCGTGAAGTGGATGGAGAACGCTATGGGTAGTGAGAGGTGTCGGGTGACAGTTGTGAAGGGTGCTGACCATGGGTTGATGTATCGGACGAATGTGGTTGTGGATGTACTTGAAGAGGTACAGGGTGCGTGGATGGAGGTTGTACATGGATCCAGGAGACGCGAGATGTCGGTACAGTCGGACCCGATGGTAACGAGTGGACTTGAGATTGGTTCAGATCCGTTCAAGTCGTTGTGATGATTGTCTCCGGAGTATTAGCCATTTCATAGAATCCGAAACAAAAGTTCGTTCCCGGCTTTCCTCTCTCTCGGACTATCTTTCCTTTTCCATTCCTGTCTTTTCTGTTTCATTCCTGTCTGTCATTTCAGATGTTCCTCCTACTGTCATTTCCTGCATAACGCATATCTGAGCGTGTACTTTAGATAATCTCCTTCCATCGTTATTCCCTGTTCTCGACTTCTCCGTTTTCATTAGTATACCGAGCCAGAATTAATCTGGCAATTCCTTCTCTGTGCCACTCATCATCTATTTAGTAGAATACCTCGCAATTTTTTCTTTCTTTCCTCGTTAAATATACCTGCCACTGGTTCATTCCATCTCTCTCTTTTCCGAACGTTTTTCCTGTATATTTTTATTCACCTGTGCTACCGAACCAAGTCTCTTTATCTCTGTGTATTGGATCATCACTCTTCCCTCTTACTTTCTTTTTTTCCCTTCGTCCTTCGTGTATAAATTTTTGGCTTTTGGCTTTTATTTTCTTGTGTTTCGGAATTTCTCTCTTTTCTTGACCTTCTCTCTTCTTACTGAAGAAATGTTCCTTTTTCTTGGAATTAGTGCCATCTGTGTTGCAAAGAATACAGTACATCTTCGTTTCAAACTTTTAAAGAAAAATACCAATGTGTAGCTGGTGTTGTAAATGTTAAGTGCAAGGAAGGAAGGAGACAAGGCAAGACTGAAAATCAAGGAACTTAGTAGTGTTAATGTACTGTGTCAAGAAAATGCCCAATTATTGAACGGCAAAAGACCTACAGTGGCATAGACTATGCAGTTTACCAACTGTCGTCAACGTCCATCTCGGGCGGAGCGACGTGATGGTGCTGGAACTCCACTTCGGGTGGTGGTGGGTGTACTAATGGGTCGACTCCGAGTACCTCACCCGCATGTGGGTGAGCGTCGGGCTCGGGAGTGGGTGTGGGTGATTTGCCGCGGAGACGGCTTAGAGTTTGGAGACGGCGGACTGGATTAGTGGTTTGATGGGTAGTTAGTTAATCATTAGTTTTTGAAGAGAAGCAGGATGGGTAGAGGGAACGAGAATGACGTACTGTAGTCCAAGCGAACATGCTGGTCAGCACTTTCGTCGTCTGAGTCGTACAGAACGTCTTTTGTGTTGATGATATGCCACGCTTCTGTAAACCACAAAAATAAAGTAAAGTAAAATAGAAAAATAAAATATTATACGCATTAGCTCAGCTCACTTTCCTTTGAAATCTTCTGAGACACATACGTTGGAACATCGACCTCTCAGGTGAAGGAGGTGCATAAACGAAGTCATATGGCTCGGTCTGCATCCCGCGTTTGGATTTCTTTCCGCGTCCTGTACCTGTACTTTGGCGATGACTGTTATCATATGCTGTACCAGCACTAGCCGAGGGAGCAAGAGTCAAAGGACCGTCTGGTTGGAGTTGGAGTGCAGGTTTGTCGTTCTGTCTGTCTTTGTAGCTGAATTTCATGTATCCGCTACTTGCATCTATAACAGAGCAAATGCAGCTCGGTTAGAGACGGTATCAAGAAGGTTCAAGAGCGGAAAGGACCTACCGACAAACTCCGGCGCGGCCTTCCGACCGGACTTCCCTTTCGACTTGATAGAAATCGACGTGCCAGCCACGGGAGCAGGCGTCCCACTTGCACCTCTTTCTGACGAACCGGGAGGGCCATCCGTCCCATCGACCTTTGCAGCATTAACAGCCTCTTGTCTCTCCCGATCTGTCTCAAGGAATTGTCTACGGTGCTCGCTCATCTTCTCGCCGTATTCTTTCTCCTCTGGCAAGTCGACGTTCTCATTGACGAGCATGCTGGGGTCAACACGATGCATTCTGGGAGCCATGGGGCGAATGTCTTTGGATTCGGATGAAGAGTCGCCTTCTTCGGGAGGAGGGTCGGAAAAGGGGTTGGGTGTGGCTGCGGACTCGAGGTAGTGGAAGACTACCCAAAGAAAGGCTCGGCCACGCTCGGCAGATGGAACCGGTACTGGCTGGAAAAGGTCAGTGAACTCAAGGCCAGCGTCTTCGTTGAAGTGAGATGTTCCAATGCCCTAATCAACACAAAATAAGTACAAAATTCAAGTAAGAGGTGGGCGTAAACGAACGGCAGTATGTTGTGTAAGGACAAAGAGCAAATTGAAAACGCTCGTCGTTGGGAAGGGACCTGTATCCTAGCATTGAGAATGGATTGCGAAGGAGAGGGTTGAGATGCTTCGCTTCGGGTACGGTAGGTCCGTAGTTATGTATGACGTACCCTCAGTGCGAGAATATTGAACGGTGAAGTCGGAACATGCTTTGACTCGCTTGGAAGCGTACAAGACTTGAGCGCGTTCCTGATGCGCGGGGCGTCGGTCAGATTACCGTCAGTCCGCTGCAGCGCCGGGACGGGATGGTACGTCCTTAGTGCAGTGCGTGTCTCGGGGAAGACTGTATTGCGATAATGAAATCAAGTAAAAGTTGGGCATTTAGACGGGACAGTGGGCGGACCGCGGACATCAAGGTGCATAGTTACCAGAGTCGGAGACGGACCATCGGCGAGAAGTCGAAGAAGGATCAGGGGATGAGCGCACGGAAACTTTGCTGCTCAGGGGAAACCGACTCACACGCCATGGAGGTGTTAACTCGCCCAACGTTTGCAAGGAGAGAGAGCATTGCGAAGTCTGTTGCGAAAGCAGAAGACTCGGCGATCTTGTCGCGTACGGAACGTGCAGTCTTCGGGGCGCGAACGATGGCGGAGACGTAGAGGTCACGGAAAGTAACCTTTTCGCCGGGTGGCGAGCTGAATGGGTCGGTGAATACTGCATTTTCATCGTTGAAAATGTAGGAGAGGACATCATATTGGAGGTCGTGGCGTGTCAATGGTTGGCCGTCAGCGCGCTTCAGTGCGCCTCTTCTTGCTGCAGCAGGAGCAAGTTTACCTGGCCCGACTCTACTAAATTTCAGTAACATCCGATTATTGGAGATGAGGTGCGCTCACTCTTTGGCGGACATTGTGAATTTTTGATAGGCAAGAAGGTGTGGCCAGTGAGCGTTCTGAAGGCGATGAACTCTGAAGACAAACGCGGCACAAAGTCGAGCAAGTCAAATCACAGCTGTGTCCTTTCTTGCACCCCTACCACCATCATCATATCATCTTACGCAGCAAAGTAGTTTTCTTGAATCTTTCTCATTAATTAGATTCCGCCATTCCTGCAGATGAACTACTGGTATTCTGCTAACAGTGCTAAGTAGTCAATTGAAATGATCAAGACCTCGTGTTGCTACTGACACCGGACAAGACGACGCCCATACGATATCACCGTTCACGACGTGCAAAAATGAGCGCATTAATTAAACACGTCTCACGCTTCCATCAGTGATAACGCACTGGAGTGGGCGTCGAAGAACTTGTCCTACGTCTTTATGTACATTAGTCAACATCAAAGAGTCTGCTTTTCCCGTCCGCAGGATACAAAGGAACTTTGATTGCACAAATCTCACGAGGCTAGTGATCTTCGAGTACTTCTTACTGCGCCTTCTGCCTGTCATGCAGAACCCTGTATAGCTAATAAGGAAGCTGTGTAGATCAACCATTATTCCTATTCATCAGTGTCGAGGTTACTTGCACAGTCCACTGGGCAACCGCTTGTTGCTCTGGCGCATGATTGGTGCTCTCAGATTCTCGACGAAGTTTATTTTCGGTTCCGTCTCGGCCTTCCCCAGCATTCTTCTGTGGCTGCGAAGTAGCCAACCGAAATCGCCGTGCGTTCACTCAACTCCCATCATCGCCTTTTCAGGAAACTCGACATCAAAATGCACCAGCAAGGCGTCGTTACCATCATTGCCTCCTGTCCGCCTATCTGTCGAAACTGCCTGTCTAGGCCTGTACGCTTACCCGGATGCCCTGGGTGGATTATCGCTGCAAAAATGTCTCCGCGCCCAATCTGAGTCTGCGCGCGATTCGGCTATTGATCAACTGTCAATTGGATCTCATCTTGACTGCTCTCTTCTCATGCATGCACTTGCATCATGTTTGTGTTCGCCAAAAATAGAAGCCCCTTTAAGCCCTGTCACAGGAATGAACAAGGTTCGACGTGGACTGCGCCTCCCTTATTACTTCGCACTTCCGCCCTTGGGCTTGCGGGGCAGCCCGAGTTTCTTCGTCTTTCTTTCTCTTTCTTCGTTTCCTTATGTCTTCGATTTCGCCAGGGCCGGCAAGCCCGACGCCTTCATTTGTTTTGAAGAATATTACTATTGACGATACCGACTCCTCTCTGAAGTACTCTCAGGGCTGGAACCGGAGTGTGTCGTCTCCTGCTTTTGGTGGTTCTTTCCAATCTACGGATCGTATTGGTGAAGTTGTTTCATTTTCTTTACCTGGTATGTCTTCAAGTATTCATCTATCTTAAATGGTGTGTTGACTGTTCATCTATCGTTCTAGCCAATGCGGTAGCTCTTTATTATATTGGCTTCAAGCAATCCTCTGGAGCTCTTTACGAAGCCTGTTTGGATTGCTCAACGAAGAATTCCAATAACGTCGATGTAATCGATGGCCACACCGACGGACGACCCTCTTCAGAACCCACGGTACATCTACTTTGTTCGCAACTGGTTCTAGAACCTAATATTAGTCCCTTTAGTTATTATACCAAAAGACTAATTTAGACCCAAGTGTGCGCCATTCGCTGGCTTTGCTCAATGTACCAGACAGTAGATTTGGGAACACTAGTACGATCACTGTTGATGCCTTCCTTGTAACTGTCGCCGATGATGGTTCGTCGCGACTATTTTTTTTTTACAATTCCCCGTGTATTGACTGTCTGTTTATTTTCAGTTCAATCATCAACGACCACAACAACTTCAATGATGAGCTCGATGAGTGGAATGTCTTTGATGGCCATGAATCCTGCAAGTGATATTCAGGACGTGCCGTCATCCACTTCGCCACCCGACATCCAGGTTGCCCCACTAACTTCGATTCCATACCCGTCGTCTACCGCCTCCATGAATACCGCCTCGCAAAATCAGAATGATCTCAGCCCAGGCCAGCGCACTGCGCAGAAGATGCGCTCCCCGCTAGTCATAACTGGCGTTATTCTTGGGACCCTCTTCATCGTATTCACAGCACTATTTGCGCTTATGTACTTCATGCGTCGGCGGAAGCGGAAGATGACGGCTCCGGTTATGACGGAAGGGCACTGGGCCGCAAGGTTCTTTGGAGATAAAGGACGTACGGAGGGGAAACGTGAGGGCTGGCTTGATTGGCAAGGTGCCAGAATCGAAGCAGGAACGGCAATGGGAGGAGATGTAAAGATAGCGAAAGGGGCCATGGTTGAGCAGCTTGTTCCTGATCGACCGACGTATGCATCGTTGCCTTCGCGGACCACCCCACCTCCACTTTGGTTGGCTGACAGTTATCGACAACAATGGGTTGCACCTGCATATCATCCCTATAACGCGACTCAGGGAACTGGAAGGACAATTCCGCGTTCGGCATTCCCGTCCCCTCCAGCAGGACCTCCTCCCCAGCCCCTCCGGACCCAACAGCTCGCTCGTGGTCCGTCTGCGAACTCTACGCATTCGTATTCTCGGTCATCAAGTCCGGGACCAGGATTTGACAATAGCCCGACAATGCCCATGAATTCCCACTCAGTATCAAACCCGTATGTAGCGGAGGCACGAGCTCGTGTGCGTGATCGTGCTCGGGGGATAACCAAGGGCGGTTCGTACGGACCCGAACAGACCAATAACGACGGTTATGTTGCTCAATACGAACCTGCTGCTGCATACAGCATCGGCCACGGAAACGATAATGCAGGATTGGGTAATGGCACGCAACGCAATGATTCATGGGGAGGTCAATACGCTCCGTGAGCATGTAGTGGATTGAATGGACGACAAACTCGGGACTTTCTCTTCCGTTCCTTCCATCTTTGCGCCCCCACATAATTATGTCCTTTGTGTTCTTTTATTTAAGAATTCCTTTCTTTCATTACTTTACCTTGGGACGCTCGTTTTTTCTTACCTTCGTCGTTCGTTAATAATTGTTGCCTTTATCCTTCCTTCCTGTTCATTCCTGTTCCGTCGTGGACCTTGACTTTCAAGCAGTTTAAATGTCTACGAATTACGGACGTGCTTTTCAAAATTGAACGATAAAGTGTGTCTGTGTTGTTGGTACTCTTGGCAATAATATATGTACGCATGTTCGTTGTATTATTACAGATCTGCCTCAGTCACGAGACGAGACGACGGGTTGACAGCTTGTTTCAATATCCACTAGCAGTTCAAGTGAAATTGACTCTCCAAACGTGTGTGGTGTGGGCGTGTTTCCTTTGTTTGGCTCTGTTTTCCGTGCTTACGCCTTAACGCCTTACGCAATTCCAGCAGAAAGTACCACGACTACCATCCGATTCGTCATCGAACTCACCTTAACTGCTTTGTATACGTGCTTGAATTCGCTATGCCTGGTGAACGTACTCCGTTGCTAGGTTCTGCGCCTCTTATTGCACCGAGACTCTTGTTTAAGGCTGGAGCAGCGTTTGGTAGCTAGTCAACCGTTCTAATGATTATTTGTGTTATTGAAATATTATCTTCTATACTTTAGCCGCAGCAGGTGTAATCGCAGGTGCATTCGGCTCGCATGGATTGAGAAGTAGGCCCGGGATTGATGCAGATAAGATTCATGCTTGGGAAACCGCCGCACATTACTCTGTATGCATCCTTTATTCGACGAGTATTGATCCATGCGTATTAAAAATGCCTGCACAGATATTCAATGGCCTCGCGTTGATGATCCTGTCAATGCACCCACGCTTCTCTGTACATCGGTTCGCTGGGCCAGCAATCGCAGCAGGCAGCTTCGTATTTTCATCAAGCATAATCGCCCTCGTGTTGAATCGTGAGAGGTTCAAAGCCTTTGGACCGATCACACCAATGGGCGGTGCGGTGATGATTGCGGGGTACGTTGTCGTTCCGACCTTTGATAGATTTTGTGTGATTGTTCCGTCCGATAAAGTGTGAACTGATTATTTTTATTGGGCGTCGGCGTCGGCGTCGGCGCTGGTATTGTAGATACCTGTCTTTGTTGTTCTGAAGGAAGGACAGAGGTGATCCTTTCACGTCTCGATTCCGAACCTTGACCCTGGCGTGAGACTGGCTATCTGCACGAAATGAATTTATGACGACACGAGGTGGTTGTTACGCGGTCGGGTCGAAGCTCGGGCCGATGGCCTAATTTGGAACCGGAGCGCGTACGCGTGAAGTCATGGTCCCGTGATCGTTCTCGTCCGGTTTACCCCCAACTTTTCTACGTGTTCCTCCCCTCAGAAAGTGTCGCTTGAGCCTATGAAGGTCTAAATATCTCACCCTTACATGTAGGAGATAAATTTCATAAAATATTTGCTCTGCGAAAACTGAGGAACGATACACGTTGTTTACGCATGTGCGGTTTTTCGCTGTTTGTTTGACATTGTGTACGCGACGTTCTCACGGCTACACCCTCACGGCCGTCCATCCCATTCATCTCTACACCCTTGTACTCTGTACTCCACGTCTTTCGTTTTCTCTTTTCCCTCCCTCAGACACCACCTCCACCTGTGTTGACAGCGATCTTTCTGTCTGTTCTTGCTTTTGCATATAGGTCTCTGTCTGGTTATTCTGCCTGCTTCTTGAAATAAATTTCTTGGCTTATTAACGCGGCATACGCGGACAAGAGCCACACGTAAGACTTGCTTTTCAGCTGATTTGCTCGTTTTGACGGTATCATATCATTCTTAGAATGCAGTCCGACATGTACAGCCCATTAGACGCCGATGATAGCAACCCATGTCGTACGCTGCAGCGGGCCGCCACCACCGACTTGTCGTTTTTTACTCCATCATCCGTGTCATTCAATCCGAAACCGTACTTCCCCCACCCTGGCCACGCACAGAATCGCATAAAGTCTGCATCTTCGTCTTCGCTGCAGCGAGAGCCATCGTCAAGCGCTCTTCAGCAAAAGTCGCTGGATGTATCGGCCAACGATCCTGAGGCCATTTTCATTCGTTACCCATTCAACGACTTTCCTGACTCGCACCTCCACCCCGATGGACTCACGTATAATCTCATGGTCGATAATCCGAACTGGTTCCTTGATCCAGCGGATTTTAGGACGGAGAACGATACGGACCCGAGTCGTGTGCCGTACCCTCAGATACTTGAACCACCTCGTGGCTGGTGCCCGACGAAAAAGAAGGATGTAAAAGAGAGGGGCGCAGAGGCTTATGGCGGTGAAGATGCACCTAAGTTGCGATGTACATTTTGTCGCAGAGGCTATGCCGGAGTGAACGCGAAGAGTATGTGGAGAAGGCATGTCCTAGAGAAGCACAAGATCCCCATGGCAAATAGACGTGATGGTCCTACCGAAGGGGGAGGTCGTGGTCGAAGTTCTTCAAACAGTAAGCCTTCTGTTCTGTTTTTGAGTTCTACCCTTCATAATTCCATTTCCGCAGAGGAAAACAAGAGAGTGGGATCGACTGGGCTGGATAAGGCAAACTCATTTACCGTTCAGAGTTTCTTCAAGCCTAAGCAGAAGGAACCAGCCACTACAATTCCTGTTCCAAAGGGTATCACTGAAAACCGCTCTTCGCAAAACTTGAACGTTGAACCGAGTTCGCCTACCCGAGGGATTCCTGATGAAGTCCCGATCATACCACAGCAGTCAGAAGAGGTAAAGGATGTGCCGAGAAGGTCTAATGAACCTGAATTCGTTCCAGACGATGATGCTGTGAGCTGCTCCTCGCGCCGCACTCCTCAGCTTACTGGCCACATGCTTCCCCCATCTTCGCCGCTGGAAGAAGGAGCCTCACATATGGCGTGGCTTGATCTTTCAACTTTGTCTCCCAGCCCTATGAGAACGCCAGGCCGCCTGGCCAAGAAGCGTAGTCAATTCAAGATGCCATGGAAGTTCCCTAGCCCTAGCCACCCGCTTTACTCTAGCCCAGACGAACTGTGTCTCGGTGTCCCGATCATGGGCATGACTGGCGAAGGTCTCCGATCCTCATATGTTGCAGTTCAGGCCAGTCCCTTTCCCGGCACTGGTGCTGCTGGTCAGTCACAGTTCTCGAGCCCCGTTGCTGCCTCGCCTTTGAGCCAGAAACCCGTAACAGGAAGAGTTCTGGGTTGGAAACGATCAAAGGACAGACCTAAGAGCAAGCTCCCTCCGCTCCCGGAGCCTTCACCACGTCGGCCGTTGTATACTGGCCCTCTGCCCGTTCCAATGTCCGAAAAATTGGATCTGACTCCCAATTTAACGATGTCGACTGATGGAGAGACAGACACGTCATTTTCGACCCTTGGCGACCCATTCTCAACTGACGCGTTTTCAAATTGGTTCGATTTAAGTAGCCCCAACAAGGGTGAAAGGGAGCGCGCGCCATCAGGCTTTCTTGATACACCGCTTCGTCGATCTGCGAGTACTTCGGCGATTGAAAAGCTCCAGCTCGCTGACTCAGGCAAGAAGGAAGAGCCTTCTTCAATGCTTCTGCCTTCGGGCTTTGGTCTGGGTTTCAACTTCAAGATTGACCTTTCCACATCAGGCGCTAAGCGCGCAAGATCAGAAGACCAGACTGATGATAATTGCTCAGACGAGTTTGGAGACCTTCTCTATCCTTCCACACAGGAACCACCCGCCTCAAGCCAACGAAGTAATGCAGGGCCGTCGAAGCATAAATCCGCCAACTCATCATTTTCATCAACGGCCGATGGTTCGTTGGAACGGGAGGACTTTCCTCCGACAGACTTAGACTCCGATGACCTGGAGACCATGTTTGGATATGTGGTCCCGACAAAGAAACGGCGATTATGCACTTGATTGTGCATATAGCTCTTATTTCCTCTAGTTTTGGTTTCGGCAGATTTCTCGTTCCTTCCTACGCATTTTGTCTTCTGCTTTACCTGTTTTACTATCTTCAGCATGCTAGCACTCTCGCTCTATCTGAGCATTGCTTCTTGCTTGTCTCTCGTGCTCTTATTTATCGCTTGTGCAGTGTGCACAGTGTCCATGCTATGATCAGTTTCTAATGTGTCCTTTGTCCACCCACACCCCACAGCCGCTTTCTAAGATTTGTCCCTCGTAGGACTTTTTTCATCTTTTCGCCTTTTTTTTTAGATTCCATCTTCTGTTTCAATTTCCTCTTTGGTCTCGATTACCTTCTTGTTCCTCGCCATGCTAAACTGCTTACGGCAGTTCACCCCGTTCCCCTTGCCTGCTGTTCTGTTTGTTCTTCTTTCTTGTACTATCAGTTGTCACCTCTTCTGTCCTGTGTTCCGACGGACTCTAGCCTATCTCAATTCCCCTTTCACATGTTCAACCACTCAGCATCTACCCTCATGCTCAAGGCAAGTTTGTGCTGCGAGTGGAGATGTAACTTTGTGCCGGACCCGCTATCGGGTCGACAATCTTGTTGTTACACTCATGGCTATCTATTTTGGTTTCGTTTCCCTCTGTTTCTATCTCGCTCCCCTACCTGCTTGTTCCTGTCTCGCCCGCCTGTGTCTTCGGCAAAGCCGATGTCTGTGTCGTATCCGTGTTGTTACATACTAGCCAAATTGTAAATACAGAAGTAGAAAAGTAGCTGAACGATATCTCGTGTGTACTCGTAACTGATCCATGTGCCCCGCTCCAGGACATTCCTGACAGAGACTCCTGCCATGTCTGCATGGAATCCAAGCTTTGTGCCACCTGTGGTATTGTTCCTTGGTTTCCTTACAGCCTTTTTGCATGATTCTACTGTTTATCTCACTCCAGCCCATCGACGTCTGCAAAGTTTTTATTGAAAGCACTGTTGGTTTAATCGTAATTGGAGCAATACGCATGCAGACCCAGCGTTTCTGTCTGGCGATTCATGTCAAGCTTGCCATACCACAGTGGTACATAGCGGCTATACCATGAAGGAAAACTCCGTTGGGCAGACGCCACGTTACATTGCACATTGAGATTGCTTTGCGCACTATACCAAATATGCATAGAGAAATTTCTAAAAATACATCCATCTTCCTTTAAAGAGCTATCCTCTAAGGGAATGCGATCTGATCCGATGTTGATAGTGGCACTATTACGTTACAAATATGCAAAGGAATTGCTATACGAGGAGCTCCTATCTATTTTTCCGTCGGAGACTCGTGATATTGATTACTACTGGTCGTTTCCAAAGGAATGCCCATTGCTTCCTGTTTTACTTTGCAGGCTTGATGGTATACAAGAGTACGTACAGATTGTTATAGAGTAAGAACAACCCTGAACCTGATTATTGTGCCACAAAGACAATGCACTCTCGAAACGCCTCTGGAACTATTAGACATCCTCAAAATCCGTCTCATAGTAGAGTTGGCTCAGAGATACAAGACCGTGCTGGTTCTACAGACACCAGTAATGGCATTAAGGAATCCAGCAAGGTTTCGCACGAATCAGTTACTAGTACTGTAGATACACACTTGGATGCTGTCAAAAAGGGTCTGGAGACTGTAAATGGATGGCTGGAGACGCCTATAGACGAGCAAAACGAAGATGCAAAAAGGCACAGAAAGGCACAAGAAGACTACAAAAAAGAACTTGAATTTATGCAAGGAGTACTTTCAGGATGCAAACCAGACAAAACATCACAGGAATCTGTCCAGGAGGCCCACAAAAAAGTTACTGGAATAGCAAGTAGTCATGTTGTGCATATTCCACGCAAGATTCGGGAATTAGCGAGATGCATACCAAACTTGAAGGTAGACCCTAATTAGAGCGAACATGTGTTCCTGAATACCTGTTTAGTGGCCTTACTTGCTAAACATAGGATATGTTGTAATATCCTAGCTACATACATATATCATGTAGTAGAAATCAAATAAAAAGTTTGTGCACATGAAATTCTTCTTGTCTCTGTAGTACATGTACATGAAGGTAGACCTTGTGAACTTTTCGTATTATTTGGTTTTAGTCTTTCAGATCAATAGTAATACTAAAAATAGAATAATCTGTCAGCCAGAGCACATTGTACATAGTTTCTAATTGTAACACATGTCAAGGATATTAATACATATTGATTTACCTTGCTCAAGAAGAAGACCATCAAATCAACCATCCAATCCAGTGATGAAACGTATCTCTCTATATTTGATATGTGTAATGTGATTACTAGATAAGAATTTGTTTTTCTGTTATACAAGAAACTCTTATCAATATTACTAAAAAGTAAGTACTAGTATGAACAATCCAAAGATATTTTATACGAGACAATCATTCATCTGAGGGAACGACCCTTGAGTTCCTCAGAAAGTGATTTGCACTTGTAAAGAAACTGGTGAAGAGACTTGAAACTTTTGGAGCAGAACTGGAAACTGTACAGGAAAGACATTCAAAATGTAATCTAGACAGAAGTTCAATTGATTCTCTCACACAGACTTATGGCACACTTGGTGGTGCATCAAAGAAAGTTGAACATCTTATGATAGAGCCTTAAGAAAGAACGAACGGCTAGCAGTATTATACACTTACTGTGATACTATATATATTTATATAACTTTTCAACTACACACATGCAGCATGCAGTTGAGGGACCGGCTGAATGCATTGTTGAACGTGAAACTCTTCTGTGTCCCTAGCCTGTCTACACTACCATCACAAAAAAGTCGCAACAAATGTATTTAATAATAGCAAAAGTAATCTAATAAAATGATTTCATAAGCATTAC